TATAAATTCGGTTTTGAACAATTTTCAAAAGAACCTTTAAGGGGTAGCACATTAGGCTTATCAATCTATAGTCATTACATGATTTGGAATTGTTGTTTTTTTGGTAGAGGTAAAAATATCGATTGTATTTTACATTAGACACTATCGATTGCCTTAATATATATCTTTCTACATTTGGGATTTTACGCGCTCTAAATATATTTTACACCTCAATTTTCTCAAAAGCTTCTAAATTTGAGTCAAATTGAGTCGTTTCAACCTTAATAATGCGCGTTTCGATAATATGACATACGTTTAAAAGAAAATATAGTGTACCACGGTAAAACATGGCATAACCTACAGTTTCCATAAATACATCGATTTTAATGAAATTTTGGAATGATCCTCTATTTATCCTATTCCGATAGGCGTTTATTTTTCTGAGGGGTAAAAACTACCTTTTATTGCAAAACATCGATAAAATTAAAACTTTAAGCATTTAATTAATTAAACATTTAAACATTTATAGGGGTATTTTTATAGGTTACATGATAATAAAGATAATATTTATAGTTTGTGAACCCTTTTTTGTTTTATTTTATTTCCAATTCCCTCTTCACTTCAGCCTTGTATGTTACCTGAAGTCATATTTAATTGAATACTGAACATTACAGTTTTTTTTACAACATGATGTATAATCTTTTACAACTATATGTAATTTAAAGGGTTTTTACCCAGGTATTTTGGTGGCTCAGGCATTATAACCTAGTAAGTATAACCATTTTTGCTTTTTAACCATAGTCAAAATTTCATAACACGTTTGTTTAAACTAAATGGTTTATACTTATTTTAGGCGATTTTAAAATTTAAACCTGATGATGGACTGTTTAGTCTGAAAACGTTTGTTTTTTGATGTAGCCCTTTTAAGGGTTTTTAAATAAATATAACCATTTACGAAGACTTACCTCTTTTTGTGATACGTGATATACAGCTAGCTACAGGAAATGTTTTCCTTGTGGATTTTGAATAATTACTAGTCTGGCTGTGACGTCCTCTCGTAGGAGTCACTATCCGGGTAGCTTTTGGACAGTCAGAGACAGAGTTCAAAATAAAACTAAAACTTTATTGTCTTCCTTAAATTAAATTGACAAAAATCTTATATACATATTTACAATTTGGTTTAGTCTTCTCAGTACCTGGCCTATTTATTCAAATTAAGTTTTACCTTGTCGTATGAAATTAGTGTTATCGGCAAGCGAGTGTGTTTTTTGAAATTTTACGCTGTATCGACTTAATAACAGCGGACGATAGTTACAGAGAAAGGAAAGGAACTCAACACGTCACTTAAGTGATTCGGGTTGATAGGACACTCCTTAACAGTCTTAACACGACTGCTTCGGAGTACGGGTAATGAAGAGCTCAACACGCTCTCCGGGTGACGGTATGGAACGGAACAACTTGTGAACTCAACACGTCCACAAGCCGGGGTAGGGAAGAAGAGAACCTTCAGTCAACACCTGTCGATTCTGCCTCTATGAGGAAATATTGCGGTTTATATAGCGAAGTTTTGCGTTGTCTACTGTTGATACACTCCTACTTCATGGGTTGGTTCGCGCGCACGCTGGTTTAACGGTGATGGCTTGGACTCATCGTTACATGGCAATAAATTCATAAAAATCTAGCAGAGCACTGTGGTATATCATAAATACTATTTATGGAATTCTACGAGTATTAATCGTAAGCCAGCAAAATCGCTTCGCTTAAGAGTGGTTTGGCGGTGAAAAATTATTAGGGTGGTAATAAATTAGTAACAAATAAGTAAAAGAATATTCTATCAGTCAAAAGTTGTTTTTCTGAATTCTGCTAGCTTGAAGCCTAAGCCAACAGAATCGCTACCATTGAGGGTGGCTTGGTGGTGAAAAATTATTAGGGTGGTAATAAATTAGTGAAAAATGGGTGAAAAAATATGCCATTAGTAAAAAGCCTTTTTTCCAAATTCTGCTAACTTGAATTTTAAGCCAGCAGAATCGCCCCTCTTAAGGTTGCTTTGGTGGTGAATGATTTATGGTAATAATGTAGTGAAAAATGGGTAAAAAATATTACGTAGGTTAAATTGGATTCCGCTTATTTGTCCCCACGAGCTTAAGGGTCCTTTCTCGGCCATCGAATTTCATTTATCACTTCTTCTTCTTCAAGTGCCGTCTTCGTTCCGAAGTTTGGCTATCATCAAAGCTATGCGTATTTTTGATGCTGCAGATCTAAACAGTTGGTAATTGGTGCAATTGTACCATTCTCACAAGTTTTTAGGGTATTCTTAATATTCTACGATACATCCACAACTCAAATGCTTCTATCTTTTTGGTATCGATCTTTTTCAATGTCCATGTTTCCATCCCGTAGAGGAGAACTGACATAACGTAACATCTCAAAAGGCGAATTTTAAGTTTTAGACTTAGATCTCTTCCGCAGAACACCTTTTTCAATTTAGTAAATGTGGCTCTAGCTTTCTCTATTCTGGTTCTGATTTCTTCAGAGCAATCATTATTTTCGTTGATAACAGTTCCCAGGTAATTATATCTTCTTACACGTTCGATTCTTTGATCATGCACGGTTATGTCAGGGAAGTTTTGTGGTGATTTAGATATTAGCATTATTTTTGTTTTGCTTATGTTAAGTGATAATCCGTGTTCTTCACTGCATTCTACTATTTTGTTAATTAGTATTTGAAGATCTTCCCAAGTTTCTGCGATTAGTACCGTGTCATCGGCATATCTCAAGTTGTTTATTCGGATGCCATTTATCTTAATACCTATATTTTGATCCGAAAGTGCTGTGTTTATAATGTCTTCGGAGTATAGATTGAATAAGGTCGGTGAGAGTATACAACCCTGTCTTACGCCTTTCTTGATCTCGATTTCCTCCGTTGTCTCTTGCTCTATTCGGATATTTGCTTTCTGGTTATAGTAAATCTTAGAGATAATTCTAATGTCCCTTTTATCCAAGTTTTTTTCTACTAGCAGTTTCATTAAGTGATCGTGACGAACTTTATCAAACGCTTTGTTGTAATCAATGAAGCACATATATATATATATATATCTTGGTTTATATCTAGACATCTTTGGCATATGACGTTAAGTGCAAATAGTGCTTCTCTTGTTCCAAGCCCGTTCCGAAATCCGAATTAAGTATTACTGATATCTACATCTAGCTTTCTGTTAATTCTTGAGTGGATTACTTTGATGAATACTTTTAATGTATGACCCATTAAGCTTATAGTGCGGTAGTCAGTGCACTGTTTTGCATTTGCCTTTTTTGGTAAGGTTACAAAAGTTGAAAGTAGCCATTCCTTTGGTATTTCTCCTCTTTTGTAGATGCAGTTAAAAAGGTCGAGTAGAATATTCACTGATTCGCCTTTCACAAGCTTAAGAAGTTCTGATGTGAGCCCGTCTGGACCCGGTGATTTACCATTTTTCATTATTTTTATAGCGTATAATAGTTCTTCTTTAGTTATTTCTGGTCCTTCGTCGCCTTGTAAGTTATCTATATTAGGTTCTTGTCTTTCATCGTCGAACAATTCTTCTACATAGTTCTTCCAGGTCCTAAGCTTTTCTTGTAGATCGGCTATTATTTCACCATTTGCGTTGCATAGGAGATTGGGATGTTTTCGTTTTTGTGTATCTGTCAGTTCCTTTATCTTTTTATGTAAGTTAAAAGTGTCATGTTTGAGATGTAGTTCTTCGATTTCCTCGCATTTTCTTGTATAAAAATTTTCCTTTGCAGTTCTTATTTCTTTTCTGATTTGTTTGTTTACTTCATTATATTTTTGGCTGCATTTTCCCTTTAACTGTCTTCGCTCTTCCATGAGACCTAAAATTTTTTCTGTTATCCATTCTCGTCCTTTTTTCTGTTTCTCTTTGGTAAGCATTTTCTGGGCAGGTTTTATTATTGCGTCTTTTAAATCTTGCCATTTGTCTTCTACATGCGTGTTCTCGGTCTTTGTAGAAAGCATTCGTAAGTTATCATTGATATGTTGTTTTAAATCTTCTTTAATTGTTGGATCTTGTAAGCGGCTGGTATCTATGTGATCTATTTTTGTTTTATTTGAAGGTCTTTTGAGTCTAATGTGTACCCGCGCTATCAGGGGGTTATGATCTGAAGAAACATCTGCGCCTGGATAAGCCTTAACTGATCTTATACAGTTTCTGTATCGCTCATTTATTAAAATATAATCTATCTGATTCCTAATTGTTTTTCCCTAGTGTGTTGAGGGGACGTCCATGTGTAGAGTCTTCGTTTGGGTAGCTTAAAGAATGTATTTAAAATTATCATATCATTCTCTTGACAGAACTCTAAAAGTTTGTCTCCTCTGTCGTTTCTTGCCCCTAAACCATATTCTCCCACATTTTTTCCGCTTTTTCCTTTGCCAATTTTGGAGTTGAAGTCTCCAAGGATAAGTGTAACATCTTTTGGCTTTGTAGCTTTAGAACTTGATTTATTTGTTCATAAAACTGCTCAATCTCTTCATCTGATTTATCTGCAGTAGGGGTATATACCTGTATAATATTAAGTTTTGCAGTTTTTGTATGCAGTTGTAGGAGCAGGATCCTGTCTGACACTGGCGAAAAATTAGTGACAGACTGTGTCATTCTTCTTGAAACGACAATTGCTACACCATATCTGTGATGTGGGTATTCATTTCCTGAGAAATAGATCATACCGTTGCTTGTCGGGACGTTGCCTGCACCGTCCTACACATTTATCACTAAAATGCCTATTTGATAGTTTTAAAGCCAATCTAAGAGCATATTCGATTACGCTGACTAATAGAGATCTATTATTTCAATTGATAATCTTTAGTTCGTTAAGGTGAACGTTTTATAATTAGTTTTGGACTTCTAACTTAAGATATTAATTAAAAATGAAACTATTGAAAGAGTTACAAGAAACAGGTGAAGTTACACTAACTAAACGTAAAAACAAAACATGGTTCTTTTTTTAGGTTATAGTAATATTTTAGTACACGGTCCATTATTTCTTAAACAATTTTACATACATCATTAATAATTTAATACAAACAAAAAAAAAACAATAAAATTTATTTAACGTCTAATATTATTTACAAAAAATTATTTTTTACCATGTGATTGAATAATTCTTTATACTTCATTCCCATCATTTCTTCATCGAGTCGAATCTGATGTTGAGGATTTGCTTTACTAGAATCATTAAACTCATCCACAAATTCACCCAGGTTAGCTTTTTTTATATCTTCGGGAATTGCAAATTTAACAATAAAAACTATTAGCGCCATCATAAAACCAAAATAACAGTATTCTTTCCATTCCTTTTTAAGTTCTTCAAAGGATATATACTCCTTGCAATCAAGAGCCAAACAAGTTTCAACCAAGCTCTTGTGATAAACCATAAGGTACTCATCTAAATTATCGAGAACTTGTTTATCGCATCCTGAGTATAAAAAGTAAGCCAAGTCCTGTACAACTGAAGCTTTAGAGGATGCTTGAAAATCAATAAACTTCATATCTTCGATTTTTCCATTTTTCTGCAAAAATATAAAAAATACAAATAATAAGATAGAAAGTCATGAAGTTATTAACGTGCTTATAATATTGTAAACTTAAAATTAGGAAATATCTTAAGCAGTGCAAATAATTATATAAGTAAAGAGAGGAATTGTAATATTACATCAATGGCCAATATTAACAGATAGTTCATGTGTACTACCAAAAATCCACATGTTCTAAGTGTAATAACCAATCAAGCACATTAATAGTTCCTTAATCCCTTAGTACCAAAAAAAGAACGTAATTTCTAGGTTTAAGAGATCGTAGGCGATATTGTTGGTTGAGTAACTCATTATTTTAAAACAAAACTTAAGACTTAATAAATCATTATGCGACTTCGTCAACCAACAGGGCAATGATAGAGTTGTAATGTTTTGCGTAACGTGGGGGTATCTAGAAAACGAAAGCCAAAAAGGGTCACGCAAAACAAATCTCGAAAACTTTTCTTTGTTACCAATGATCCATATGTAAGTCAATAAATGTTATAATTAAATAAGTGTAGAAGAAAAGCAATGAGTATGTAAAAGATTTTTGAAAACTTAAAGCTAAATAACTTCATTTAATCTAACTATAAAGCTAAATGCCACTGTGTATTATCTTCAATTACGGTTGTGCCTACCTGCTAAAGCGTTATGTTTAAATATATTTACTCAAATTTTAAGAAAAGTTGACTGGTATTTAAAAAAAATTGGTTCTTAAAACTGATCTGTTTAAAAAAATATATTTAATTTACTAATGTTTGTATTCTGAGAACGATTTCCGAAGTGGAAATTGAAACGTCAATAAACGTATTTTTATCTTTAATTGTGGCTTATACCCAGTTAAATAGTAATTAATTTAAAATGCCACAAGAAAATAGCTTCAGAAAAATATTAACAATTATTTTAAATTAAATGTTCAAAATGCTATCCATGGGTTCCTGCCATAACTTTCTGAAGTAAATACTTAAAAAAGCAAAAATAAGTAAAAATAAAATTTAACACAAAAAGTTATCTCATAAACACTGAAACTTTCTGTCAAATGTTAATTCAAGCAAGTGATAATGGCATAGTTACTGTAATATTTATTGGCGTAAATGTTTTGATTTTGTGAATTGTCTTCAGTTGTAATTCTATGTTATCAATTGTAATTTTACTTTTGAATACTAAATTATGGCTCACATAAATAAAACACAACGCATAGAAGTATTAATTCTTAGCGGATGCGGAGATAAAAAAGAACACAAAACGAGGTATGCAATTTATTCAACACAAAATATCCAGATAGACACATCAGCCAATCAACAGTATTTAAAATAGTCCTAAAATTTGGAGAGAAACTGGGCACGTGACACATATTTCAAACGCTGGGCGTCCTAAAATTGAAGACAATGTGAAACTTGATATTTTATTAAATGTTCATGACAATCCTCACAGTAGTTCAACACAAATGGGTGAATATGCTGGAGTTTCCTAACGATCGGTATTACGTATTAAATAAAAAAAGAAAAATAACATCCCTACAAAATTCAGCTACATCAGGAATTAAACGAGTACCATTCCGATCGCCGGCTTCAATTTTCTAAAATGATGCAGGATTTATGTATCTGAAATCCACATTTAATCAATCAAATCCTTTTTTCCGATGAAGCCACATTTTTTATACATGATACCGTAAATCATCAAAATTACAGATATTAGGCTTAAGAAAACCCACATTGGATGACTGAGTCACACATAGCAGAATGGGCAGAGGGCCATGACAGAATCATTGGTCCTTTTTTCTTTAAAGAAAATCTAACAGAAGAACGTAAAATTTTTTTTTTTTTTTGAGAAATCAACTTACACCTGTCCTTGCTAACATGTATCCAAATGCCAATAATTCAAATTTAGTTAGTGAAAATATCTGGTTTCAACAAAGATGGAGTCCCTTCGCATTACCCACGTAAAGTACGTCAATTTTTAAATCATTGCTTTCCCAGGAGGTGGATCGGAAGACGAGGTTTTATAGAGTGGCCAGCAAGGTCGCCAGATCCAACACCTCTAGACTTTTTCCTGTGGGGTTACATATAATCAAAAGTTTATGTCAATAGACCCCAAAATTTACAGGATTTGAAAGATAGAATTAGGCATCAAAGGAGTCTAATTACTCCAGAAGTCATCCGCAATATACTGGATGAATGTGTCCGTAATTCGCATATTGTCAAGGATCCGATGGATGCCATTTCGAACATTTAATTTAAATTAATTAATATGCATAATTTGGTAACTTTAAAGTACATTATTAATTAAATCATTAGTTGTAATTTAGTTGAATTTAAATTAAAAACAATTGTTTTTGTACCCTTAAAAAATATTTTGGTTAAAAATGTAATGTCGTTAAATAGAGAATTAAATTCTTGTATAAATGAGGTGTGGCACTATACCGATTTCTATTTAAAAAAATTAACGATTGTTAATACAACGGTTCTTGAAATAATGATAATATTCCATAATTTAGCCGTTCACTGTATGTATGTGATATACAGGGTGTTTCAAAAAGGTTTGTCATAAATTAAATCACGCATTCTGGGAATAAAAATAAATTGATTAAATCCAACTTACCTTAGTACAAAAGTGTACACAAAAAAAATTACAGCCCTCTGAAGTTACAAAATAAAAATTGTTTATTTGCATTATGTCCTAAACTACTTGACATTTTATAATATAAATTAACAGGTTACCTTCTTGTTCTGAAAGCATTTTTCATAAAAAAGAAACAACAAAATCTAAGTGCGCACAAAAAGATTTTAAGGGGACTGTGCAGCCCTAAATGCCCCAAAGTACGTTCAAATTAAATGAATTTTGTGGCATCCTGAGATTAACACATTATTTATTAATTTTTTTATTTTTTTTTTGTATTTTTTCACTTTTTTTAAAAAACGTTTTTATTGAGCTAGGGGCAATTTTTTATTACCCTTTAAAAAATTCTGTTTAACTAAATAATTGGCTTAAATGAATTAACAAGTACAAACAATGTCGACAACATCTATAAATATGATATTAGAATAAATGTTCACAAGGAGATCCACATTTTCTTCAATACACATTCGGTGTCGTTTTAATAAGGAAAACCTTATGTGCCGAAAAATCATATTTTTCTGACAAAATTAATTTGCAGCTTCAATTATTCTAACCCTCAATTGTTGTTCGTTCTCTATTGTTACAGAATACACTTTCTTTCTCTTTTATAAAATCTCAAAAGCAAAAGTCCATGGGGTCAAGACCTAGACTTTTGGATGGCCAAGAAATAGGTACGTCACGACCTCTTCCAATCCACCGACCAGTATACTGTCTGCGAAGGTATTCCTGGACTTCATTACTGTAATGCGGTGAAGCGCCATTTTGTAGAAACCACATATTTTACCTAACTGCAATATTCACTATTTCCAAATACTCTTGTAAATCGTTTCACAAGAACTGCAAATAATTATCACCATTTAAATTGTTGGGTAGACATACTGGACCTATTAGATTGTTATCCACAATTCCTGCAAAAACGTTAACTTTGGAAGTCGTTTGGCGATGAGTCAATTTTTGTGGCGTGAGGATTTTTGTCAGCCCAAACGTGCTCGTTATGATGGTTTATTATTCCATTTCTACTGAAGGTAGCCTCGTCGGTAAACACAATATTTTTAATAAAATGAATATTTTGAGTGTTTTCCGTTATCAACCAATTAGAAAATTTAATCCTTTTGGGATAATCTTTAACCAATAACTCTTGAACCGTTGTTAAGTGATCTTTCAAACTCCTCAGCTGTATTTCGATTGTATACCGCCTTGCGGCTACTGCACTATTTCTTTGACATTGACCCTACGGTATTCCCAAGAGTTTATTGAAATCATAATTTAATCTGATTCAACTTACCCAAAGTTAAATGCATATCTGCCATTTTCTGAAATGTGTAGTCCATTGTAATATGAAAATTTTGATTATTGAAAGAATGCTTTTAGAACAAGAAAGTAACGTGTCTATTTTTATTACAAAATGTCAAGTAGTTTAGAAGATAATGCAAAAAATAATTTTTATTTTGTTACTTGAAAGGGCTCTTACAGTAACTTTTTTTTGTTTACACTTTTTTAATAAGGTAAGTTGGATTTAATCAATTTATTTTTGTCTCCGGAATGTGTGATTTAATTTATGACATACGTTTTTAAAACACCCTCTATTATACTATTATATATTAAAAATAATCTAATATTATTATTTAATAAATTTATTGAAATCATAGGTGTTTTTTGGAACACCACTGCTTTGTTTGGTGAGGCTTTACTGTTCCTAGAAATTTCCACCACTACAATTGAAACATACTCTACTAGATGTTATTGTAATGTAATTTGTAATCAAAGTTTATATAAGTAATGTATCCATTCATGTCTTTTTTAACTCAATAAAAAAATGCAGACAAATGTTGTATGTAACACGATATAAAATAGATTTTAAGGCATTCGCTGGATCTTAGGACTCGTCTTTTGATCATCCTAGAAACATCCTACTTATCCCGTAAAATATCGATTTTAGAACTTAACTAAATTATTATTTCAACGTTGTATATTAAATTTGAATTTTTATGAAGTTTGACTAAATTCGTTAACTATTTCAAAGTACTTACGTCATATTTAAACATCATATTATTACTCCAACAGTCTCCATGAGTTATTACTCCATAATTACCCGTACACGTTACAGAATTTTTAAAAAGCTCCACACAATTTTTTGTAAGTTTTTCCAAAGATTCTTTGGTTTTGATGTCTTTGTTTGAACTTAAATATTTTTCACATTTTTTAACGGCATCTTCCAAGCAATAAATAAAAAGTTTTTCATCTCCCTGAATTTTCCAATAAGGAGTTAACGTTTCACAAAATTCGTTGAAATTATTTGGATATTTAGCTTTATATCCAAAAGATAATCCATGAAATTTTCCATATTTTGTTAATATATATTTAAGTTCTGCGTCGCTAAAACTCACGTTTTTTTCAATTGTTTTAAACTGCTGTGTCATGAGGTTTTCCATTATAAGACACTCCTTATCCTTATGTACATCCGTAGCAAAACATTTAGGAATATTATTAAATGGATCAATATTAGGCAACGTCTTTTGTAATTTGCTAAGTTCAGGCCAAATCCTGTTATAAAAGTAACTCTCATTTTTGTACAACGTATGAACAGGAATCGCATCTCTTACATTCTGGTTCAAATTAGATTGTTTAACTACAATATCTAATCCTTTAGTACGTTGTTTATCAGTTATGCTTATAAATATAACGTTACCTGTAAACCCTTCGCCATTATCCATTTGACCACTAGCAGTTATTTCTGGATCTGTAAAACCTTCGCTTACAGCAATATTTTTTAATATAGTCTGTACTTCAGGATATAAAGACTCCATTTTTAAATCACTTTAATCTTAAAATCTTTTTCTATCTTCTGTAACATATGTTTATCACTACATACAGTTCAATATCAACGAGTAACTGGCTTTTAGATTACTTTTCAATGTCATATTTATATTATTAGATAAGTGCACTTTTTAGATAATTTGTCTAATGTAAATAATTTTCTATTTTAATATTGGATAACCTTCAAGTTCATTATGCATGCGAATAAATCTAATATACACTGCATTCATAAACCAATGCACAAAATCAATATTAGCAAAAAAACGGCACTACCAACAATTTTCAAAATATGTCGATTTTTGATATAAAGTAAATTTACTGTACACGACGAAATACTTTCGTCAGCTTTTTTTTTTAATGGAGTACGCGTTTTTTATGTTTCGAATAGCCTTATCGGCCTGATGTAAAAAATTCATTGAGAATAACTTCTAATAGAATCGGTCATTTTAAAAACAACATTAGTCACATATATTCTTAATTTTACAGGAGAGCAGAAAACTAAATAGTTGAAAGATGGATGAAATGGATGACCTAACAATCCTAAGTTATATTGTAATTGTGTTTCTAATCATAATGCTCTATAAATCATTTTGAAAAAAATAAAAGTTTTTTGAAACATGACTTTTGAAATATTGGACTGATACTATTTATGCATGAACTAAAAAAAAACAGGAACACAACCATTTATATTTTTATTTCGAAGGTATAGTAACTACAAAACCTGGTAATTATTCTTCTTCTTCTTAAGGTGCCGTGCATTTCTGCGTAGGCGTCCACGGTCTACGTGTGAAGGGTCATTGCGAAGCATTTCATAGCTGTGGATTCCTGTCCGTTGTCGAATATTGCGCAGCCATGACATTTTTTTACGTCCCAGACCTCTCCTACCCTCTATCTTCCCTACGAGTATCAGTTGCTGCTAAGTGTATCTTTTTATCTTATTTTTATCGTCTTACTTTTTACATAACTAAAAAGTTCCCTATCCTGTAAGCCCGCTCTTCTGAGTACTTCTCCATTTCTGACCCTGTCCATCCGTGAGCTTCTAAGCATTCGACGCAGGCACCACATTTCAAACATTTCAAGTTTGTTAATAGAACTGGCCTTTAACGTCCATGCTTCCATTACGTTTAAGAGAACAGGCCACACGTGACACTTAAGCATTTTGTATCGGAGGTTGAAGTCCAATTTGCGATCAGTCAGAAACTTTCGAAGCTTCAAAAAAGCATTTCTGGCTTGTTCAACTCTGCTCTTTATTTCATTCTCGGGGTCCCAACCCTCGTTCAGCAAACAACCCAAGTATTGAAATTGCCTGACCTGTTCGATTTCTTCTCCAGAGACATATATTTGCATTGGGGTAATCATTTCTACTTTTAATCATTGTTTTTGTCTTCTTGATATTTATTTTCAAACCCCGAGCTTCACTTGCAGGAGTTAGATCATTTGAAAGGCATTGAAAATCTTCGATGTTATCTGCTACTATGGCTGTATCATCAGCATACCTGATGTTATCAACAAATATGCCGTTAACTTTAATACCCTTATTATTACAGTCTGCCACTGCTTCAGCGAAGGCTTTTTCTACGTATAAATTGAACAGCATTGGAGGCAGTATACAACCTTGCCTTCTTCTTCTTCTGTTGGCATCATAACCCTGGATGGGTCTTTGTCTGTCTGGCTATGTCCTTCCATTCAGATCTCTCTTGTGCCCTTCTTCTTCATTGTCTTATATTCATTGTTTTCAGGTCGTCTTTCACGTCATCCAACCATCTCGTTCTTGGCCTTTCTTTTTTCTCCTTCCTATGGGCTTCCATTGGGAAAGTACTGGGAGGATTAAAACAAAACTCAAAAGAAAAAATTAAATTCAGAAATATGCAGGACAAAGAATGGAAGGACTATTACAAGGAACTCTTAAAAGATTAAAAGACCACAATTTATTGCGAAAGAAAACAGGCGTAGACGAAGCATATCCCCATAACAAGAAATAAAAAAAAACAGATGGGAAAATAATACCGGTCATAAAAGCAATCAAAAATAAGAAAGCACCGGGACCTGGAGGCATCTCACCTAAGCGTGTTACACAAAAAAAATACACCGGATGATAAAATGGATATTTCAGTAAGCCATATATAGAGAACAGTTTACAAATGAATGGACGGAGGCATATATGACACCTGTATTTAAGAAAGTAGACAGAAAACAATGCGAACATTATAGAAGAATATGCGTAATATCATCAATGAAAAAAAGAAAAAAGCAAAAAATAGAGACAAACAATTGGCATTTGTGAATGTGAGAAAGGCGTATGACTCTCCACCAAGGTCAGAACTGTGGAAGGCAATGTACAAATTAGAAATACAAACAACACTTATAAAAGCTAAAAAAGCTCTGTATAAAGAAAATAAAGTGTCCATTAAAATGGGAACAAGAGTAATAAGAGACTTCACCATAACAAAAAGGCTCCTGCAGGATTGTTTCACATCTCCAACCCTATTTAAAATATACTTAGAGAAAGTATTGACTACATAGAAAAAAATGCTAAGACGTGGGAGTACCGGTACGAAACGAATACCTATATACTTTAAGCTTTGCAGACCATCAGTAGCGAAAACAGAGTACCTATGTACAAGTAAAGAAGACATAGAAGATGTACAGATTGACGACAACGTAATAATAAAAGAAAAGGACAAATTTAAATACTTGGGGTTCATAATCACGAAATAGGCAACAACAGAGGAAGAAATTAAACAAAGATTGAAACATACAAGAACAGCAATCCGACAAATTAACTCAGTAATGTAATGTAATAATAAAACACAGATTTATAAAACATTAGTGCGAAGTATTATGACATTATGGAGCTGAAAATTAAAATAAAAATAAAAAAACAGCAGTAAGATAGTACCAATAGAGATAAAATGCCTACAAAGATGCTGCAGAGTAATAAGAATGGATAGGAGAAGTAATGACGAAATAAAGCAAAGAATATTAATAGAAACAGACATACTGATATTTCAACGCTTTATTCAATTATAACCGCTGATTTACTTATAATCAAGGCTTGGTCAGACTTCAACTTACTTAGCTTTAACGTGGATAAGACTGTAGCATTAACTTATAAAGGAGTCATGCAACCCTTGCTTTTGAATAAGAGCCAAATCAATATCGTAAATTCCGTAAAATTTGTAGGTATTCTCATTGACAGTGATCTCAAATGGTCCTTGCATACTGACTCCTTAAGGAAGAAACGAGCCTCAGCTTGCTTTGCAATAAGATCTGTTTCGAAGGAACTAAATTTATCTTGTGCCAAAATGGCATATTTCTCATTGTTCGAGTCCCATATTCGATATGGGCTTCCATTTTGGGGTTCTAGTACAGCGGCCCAATTTGATACTATTTTTAAGTTGCAAAAAAGAGCAATCCGTTATCTCTATTTGGTCTCAAACAAACAACTCATTGCAAAACCTACTTCAAAACTCACGGAATTTTGACGCTTCCCTCTTTATTTATTTTGGAAACGGTTTGTTTGATTTGAAAGCATCTAAACATTTTTCCCGATAGACCTGACCATGGCTACTCCATTAGAAATTCGGATTGTAACGTTTATTTGCTCCCGTCTACTCAGCTAGTAAAGAATTCTATTCTATATCGTGCAAAGAGCCTTTATAATCACCTTCCAAGAGAAATTAAATCCGCAACATCCTTGATTAAGTTTCGTAAGGTGACAAAAATCTATCTCTCAGAAAGACCATATTTTATTATTCAGTTGACGAGTTTCTTAATGTATAACAAAGAAACAAAATTATTATTGTTTATAATTACATTTGGGTGTCTCAAGCAGTGGCTACAATTTGTCTCATTTGTTGTTGTCTGTACAAATTATGTAGGTTATACAATAATTTTACTAATTTAAAATTTTGTTATTCTGTTTTCTACTATATTTGTTTTTGTTTTATACTTTTTGTACTATTTGACTGATTTATTTTTTAGCTTTGTCCATAAAATTGTTCAATAATTTTCAGTGACAATAAAGCATATTTCTATTCTTTTCTAACAGACATACTAACATAGGACAAAAAAGACTAAAGTGGTATGGACATGTAAGAGGAAGTAGCGACAGCACATGGATAAAGAGTGGTAGCTAAAATGTGGTAATAAATGTCTTCTTTCGTTCCACCGATCTTCTATGTCGCAAGTAGTGTCCTCAACTATTTTCGCAAAATTCTTATTTATTTCTGTTTTTTATTTTTTTTGGATACTATTCTCGCAAAATTCTTATTTATTTCTGTTTTTTATTTTTTTTTTGGATACTATTTTCTTTCTGAGTAGTAGTTGTATATCTATTTTGGGCCTCATTTTCTTATGTATTGTTTGAAGTCGTATGTTGAAATTTGCAACTAATTGACTATGATCTGAAAAGACAGCTGCGCTCTGGATAAGTTTTGGTTAAGTTGATAGGATTTCAAAACAAAAACAAAATTTCATTTTGTTTATGTTTATAAAATCAATTTGGTTTCATATTATTTTCCTTGGGGTATTATTAGATGCTCTATATGTGTAAAACCTTCTTGTGTTTTTTTTTTAATGTATTTGTTACAACCATATCCATCTTTTGGCAGAATTGGATCAGTTTTTCTTTTCTTTCGTTTCTTGTTCTAAGACCATATGTCCCCACAACATTCTTAGTTTCGATCGTACCTTTACATGAATAAAACGTGCTAACCTTTTAAAGAAAGAACCGGCTTCCTATTATTTTTTGATACATTTTATTTAAAACTTGTAATCATTTTTACAAAAAATTCACTAAGTGAAGTTACAAATAGCACAATTAAATGTATCCCTGTCATGTGAGAACAAATTTATTAAGAGCGTCTGTTTATGATTAAACTTGAGAGGTCGCTGGTTAAGTTATATCAGATAAATAATTATAACGAAAAATGCAACATTTATTTGTACATAAAATTAGCGAAAATAGCAACTATAAATTGTGAATAAGTTATGAAATCAACTGGTTTAATCATTATTGTTGTTTTGTACAAAGAACAGACTTATCCTTCGGTTCTATTGATGAATTCGTAACAGGCTGA